GTCTCCAAGATATTCCTGCTCGCTGCCCATCTTTCGCAACATGCCAAGTTCGTCGTCTAAACGTCGCGCGAAGTCGAGCCTCGAGCTCCTCACAACGGTTTTGGTTCGTTTTGCTCTCACTGAAAAGAATTTGGCATCACACACGAACTTGCTCTGGATTTTTCCTACAGAACTCGTTTTCTACAACCTGTCTGCTAATTGCTAAGGCGCCAGTGAGTCTGTCTTCATCAAAGAACGGTCTATTTGTACCAAAGGTCGGGAAAGTTCAAGCAAACATCGTACACAGGCTTGTTCAGGGCTGCTTTCAGAACTAGGAAGGATTTTACTTTTGTCTATGACAACGCGCTCTACTCACGACAAAGTTAATTGGCCAGAGCAATAATTTTGGTCACTCGTTCTCAGGCAATTGCCAAGTTTGAATCGAAAGAGTTGGCACACGTACATTTCCCCCTTCTGAAGTAGTTCGTTTGTTTTCCGCATCTCTATCCGTTGTTGGTCAATTATAGCGTCCTTTGCCGTGGAGATTTTTGCCAGGTCAACGAACTGCTGCTCAATTGGAGTGAGCCTTCGACCGGATTGTTGTAACTGCTGCTCTCGTTCCTTAATCAGAAACAATCTAAGTAATAATCAGAAGGCCAAGTGGTTACTTTTCTGCTGCATTTTTGACAACTGGGCTAGGATCTGTTCAGTTTCGTCCACGAAAGGGTAGTTTTTCAAAAGGTAACTGAGGCAGTCTGGCCCGTAAAAAAACGAACATCTGGTCCCTTTCAGCACGAAAAAGAAAAACGTTAGCGTCATAAGCGCCAAACAATTGGGATAGCGCCGGCACCAGTGGGGCTGTTCCAAGGTTGATCTTGACGATTGAATGTAGTATTTGCCTTTTGAGTGGAATTATTCTTGGGCCCAAGTTCTCAGCCAACTTCGTGGTCCACAGTGTCTCGACAGCTCAGCACCTACCAGGGAAGGCATTCAACTTCCCATGGAACTTTGAATTGAGACCCAGATATATCGATAGAGCTTCAAACGCTGATTACAAATATGGAAACTAAAACTGCAAAATGAACCTGCCAAGGAAGTTGTGAGCAGTCAAAGTTGGCCAAGTAAAGCGTTGCATATGAATCGTGCTAGTCGAATTCGCCATGAATAGAGGTAGTACCCTCTCTTCACCTGGGAGGTCATAAGTTCTCTTCCCGTTGGAGTGCAAATTTCGAGAGCACTACCACTACTCCACGGCGACTTTGAAAGCCCGGAGGCTAGTGTGCTTCACTTCCAGCGCAACTTTGACTGCTCACAACTTCCTTGGCAGGTTCATTTTGCAGTTTTAGTTTCCATATTTGTAATCAGCGTTTGAAGCTCTATCGATATATCTGGGTCTCAATTCAAAGTTCCATGGGAAGTTGAATGCCTTCCTTGGTTAGTAACCGTTTTTCGCCAAACATGCGCGATGTTCATGTTTTTGGGCCAGACTGCTCCTTAGCAGCAGCCTCTTGGAAGTCAACCTCGTAGAAAAATTTCGAATAAAATTCAGCTCCTTCTAAAGAATGGGCACAAAATGTCCATTGTTCCAAAGGTTACCACGGGTTGTGTGAGTTGCGTTCAAAAAACACACCTGAATTGCTTTCAGTGGATCGACTGTTTCTAGCGTAACTGTTGGCTCTTCTTTGTCAGGGGATGCTCTGACTTTTGCTCGATATGGATGTTCTAAAAGTAACGCCGATCAGATAAGCTTGTTCGGATCTTTTCTGATGCTTTTGAATGTGAGCTATTAGCAGTGTGCCAATTGAATTCTCAACAGAATCAGAGAAGGGTGCAACTGGAACAGCTGTTTCAGGCGCACAACATCCCAAAAACATAATTCCATGGAAGAGGTTTTGTGTAATACTTCCTCATAAAAGAGAGCCAAATCCTCGGGACCGTAGCAAGCTCGGCCAGTGATGGGGATAATCCCTCCATCACCACGGCCAGAGATATATTCCGGACGATCGCTGGGGATATATCCCTAGCCGGGGCGTGCCATACTGCCCTTGGACGTGCCCGTTATAGTATTATGTCAAGCGCGACTACAACGAAGGTATCCTCTTTTTCGGAACG